TATTTATTATTAATTTATAGAATCTAATTAAATTTATAATTATTTTATTAAAAAATTATCTAATTTTAATGGAATATAAAGATTATTTAATAAGAATTATTCTAAGATATTTAATATTAAACTATTCTTTATCTAAGTTAGATAGGATATATTTCTCTAAAATCAATTTTAATTAATTTATTAAATAATAAATATGTATTTAATTTAAAGATACTTTTCTAATATTTTTAATTAGAATATAAAAATGAAATTTAAAGTAAAAATATTTTTTAAAGAAAATAATAAAGAGATAAAAGTATTATAAAAGAGTTTTAATATTAAGTTTGTGATTTTTATAAATATATAAATGATAATTTACAAATAATCTAATAAAAAAATAATAATTAGTTATAAAAACTCAAGATATAATTATTTATTAATTATTTAAATAATAAATATAAAGAAATTTATAATAATATATATAAAAGAAGATGTGAAATTTAATTTTACAAAAATTTCAAAAATATATTACAGTAATTCTGAATAGTAAGTTTTACTGAGAATTATTATAAAGTATAAAGAGTTGAAAAAGAGATAATTAAACTAATTAAATTGAGAAAAAAATAAATATTAGCAAAGATTTCTAAGATTTGTACCAATATCTATAAATATTATTATAAAAATAGTAAAATTACAAAAGTAATTTGAGAAAGTGATAGAAATATAAAGAAAAGAATAAAATAATTCAAAAAATTTATAATAATTATTAAGTAAAGTCACTATTAATTAAAGAAAACTAAACTAAAATATAAAATAACTAATATAAAAGAAAATATAAATCAAAATAATATAAATCAAAATAAATCAAAATTATAAAGATATAAAAATCAAAAATATCAAATCAAAATCAACTTTATATAATCAAAGAAATAAAACTAAGTGAGAGAAAGAGTATTAGTATAATTAGAAAAGGAATCAAAAGATTAATATTATTATAATAATAAGCTTTTTTAATTATATTTTCCAAATAATTCAATCTGAAATTATTTATTTCAATTTGAGAGAGCAGATTCTTTTATATATTTTTCAAATACAAAATTTATTATAGTATTATTAACTAATACTATTTAATATACATGTTATAATATCATATCAAGATTTTGATATTTATATTTGAAATCAAGCTTACAATATTAAAAGCTTGAAATCAAGATTTTGAGATTAAGGTTTTAAAAGAAGTAAATATAAAAGAAGATATCTATAAATATATTAAATATTAATCTACAAAGTATTACTAAAGATAATTATATAAATGCAATATTAATATTTATATAAATGAAATATTAATATTAATGTGATATATTTTGTGATCACAAAGGACAATCCTCAAAGTTGGAGTGATAAAATATAAATAAAAATAAAAAATGATTTAAAAATGATTACTTGATAATAATGACTTATGCGTTCTATGGTGAACTTCACTAATATAAAATGAACTCAAAAATGGAATCAAATGTTCATGATTGTAATGAATGTAACGATTGTTGAAAGAATAAATACTGCGGTGAGTGTTTATAGTTCACAATACTCATGATTGTAGTAAATGTACTATATGTTAAGAAATTTCTTACCGCCGCAATGACTATTTCAAATATCACAAACGAATTTATAACGATGAATTGTCTAGTGGAGATAAAGATATCAACAATCTAATAAAAAAATGCATCAAAATTAATTATAAAAATGAAAATATATTCGAATGGATTCCTTTTGAAAGAGTTACCAACGTTGAATATCTTGCAAAAGAAGATTTTGGGTCAGTTTATAAAGCAATCTGGTTGGATAGAACATTGGTTTATGATTATTATGGGATCATGAAGAAAATAAATTTAAAGGAAGAGGAGAATTCAAAATTTGTGTTGGAATCGTTACACAATTCAAAGCAAATTACTCCAGAGTTTAAGAATGGGCATTTCTAAAATGAGAGTTGCGTTTTATTTTCTATTACAAATAAATTTTTTAAAAATAGATTCAAACGGGACTTGAATGCTATGATTACGGCACCGGGATTGTATATTATGAATGACTAAAACCCAATTACAAATAATTACTTGAAAGTAATGACTTATGCATTATATGGTGAACTTCACAAACATAAAGTGAACTCAAAGATGGAATCAAATACTCATGATTGTAACAAATGTAACAGTTGTCAAGAGAGAATGAATACTGCGATGAGTGTTTAATTCACAAAACTCATGTATGTACTGATTGTCAATAAAATAAGTACTGCGATGACTGCTTCAAATATCACAAATGAATTTATAACGATGAATTGTCGAGCGGAGATAAAGATATCGGCAATTTAATAAAAAAAAATGCAACAAATACTGTAATAATGATAAAGACATAAATTGAAAGATTTACCAGCATTAAATATTTTGTAAAAGAAGGTTTTGCGTCAATTTATAAAACAACCTGGTTGGATGGACCATTATATTATAATATCTATGCATACTATCTCAAATGAGATCATGAAGAAAATAAATTTGAACGAAGAGGAGAGTGGAAAGTTGGTGTTGAAATCATTACATAATTCAAAGCAAAATTACTCCAGAGTTTATACACGAGGTAAAAAATGAATAGTTTTTAAATTGAAAGTTACTTTCATCTCCTGATACAATCAATTTTTAAATAGATTCAAACTGCTCTTAAATGCGCTAGTTATATTAAATATTACGGAATAATTACAAACCATGCTACATGCTACAGATGAATATTCGATAATGATGACTTATATAAAAAATGATGTTCGTAAATATATTAATTCCATCTACGAGAACTTCAATTGGAGACAAAAATTAAGTTTTTTATATTAGATTGTCAGTGATCTAACAAAAATTCACAGAGAAAAGTTTGTACATCTTGACTTTCATCCTGGAAATATATTAATGTAGTGGGGAGGTCCTCAAATTGCTGATTTTGGACTTAGTATTCCAATAAGTCCATGCATAGGAAAATCTAACCAAGAAGTTTGTGGCGTATTTCCTTATATGGGTCCAGAGGTGCTAAATGGAAAGCCATACACTAATTCTACAGATATTTATAGTTTTGGTATGGTTGTTTATGAGATTGTAACTGGTGAACAACCATTTGGTGAACGGAGTCATGATATGCATCTCGTATTAAACATCGTTATTAAAGAAATACGACCTACCATATCAAATAATATTCCCGGTGGTAAAAATTTATTATTGAAAAATGTTGAGATCCTATTCCAGCAAACAGACCAACTGCTAAGGAACTTAAAGACTTTATTGACTCTATCTACGAAGATGATGGATATTATTAGAAACCGAATACTTTGCATTCTCAGTACTACAGTTCTTTAGACTATCCTAAAACAGAGGAAGAAGTCAAATAATTGTTAATTTAGAAAGACAAAAATTAAAGGAACTTGACGAGGTGATGAAATTACAAAAAAAGCATTCCTATAATAGGAACAAAAAACAGCAAATCCATTCAAATGCAATTTACACCGGTCGATTTTTTACGTCAAAATTTAATATCACGAGCATTTGTTTTTATATTCAATCAAAATGACATTTCGGGTTGATTTTAATATATCAAATATTTAGTATTAGTTTATATATTCCAAATGAAGGTAAATTCACTATTTACAAAATATTCTACGTTAAACGTAATAGTTATTTGTTTTATTTACAATGTCTCACGAGCGTTTGATATTGATATTGATGATGGAAAAGACACCAAAAAATTAATTTGGGCTCAAAAAAATGAGCCTACAAATGGTCTGTGAATCGAATTTATTCATATTAAAATTACTACAGCAGCATTACGCAAAAGGAGAGGGAAAGTCAATGCAAAATTTAATTTGTCTATCAGAGAATTTACATTGAATTGATGTTTTTCTTAACACAACAACGAGATATACTAATACATGTATATTGTGTCGCAAACTGCAACACAATCAGCCGGTCCTGTGGTTGATCCGTGCAATCTTTTTATAAAGAATTTACATGTAGATGAAAATATTACCAGTAAGACTCTTTTTAATCATATCCGTAAATACGGTCGAATCATCAGTGTCGCGTTATCCGAGATCAAGAAACCCCCCACGTCTAAAGGTTTCGGATTTGTACGTTATGGCACTGTTGAGAAGACTGATCGGTCTAAGCAGTCAATGAATAACAAAATCCTTAGGACAAAACAAATTGTGGTTAAACTCCACGCACCAAAAAAAATGCGTCGAGCAAAATCTGCAAACAATTTCAATCCTACCCTGCAGAATCTCGTGCCCCTTCTCGAAATTCCCAATTAATGATACCTGACGAAACTATTCTTCACGACAACGAATGATGTAACGACACCATTCATCAGACGAAGCCTGACTAAGCTACTCCCAGAAAAGGCATCGTAATAATTAATTGATAATTGAATTTGAATTAGTTCAAGGCTTTTAGCTAGAAAGATTGTTTGATTTATATAATTATTTGTAGGAGCATTAATCTCTCAGTTCTCACGCCCAAATAACTTACCTAAATCCCGAATCTCTCATAAATCCTTCTCTCCCAATTCCACGCATCAACGATATCCGTAGATATACACAGGCAAATGAAAATATCAGTCTAATTCCCCGTTTCCCACCTCCATTACAGGCAAAAATCTGTGAATCAAATCGGTAACAAAAAATTTGCAGAAGCAAGGCACGTTGATGAAATGGATAATCTTGGTTATTGTTACCAAAACGGAATAACGATAACATAATAATAGTTAAATGGACAAATTTTGTATTGTATTTTACCAACAGTAACAATAAGATAGATCTATGATAAAAATATTTTCCATATACTGATCATTAATTAAATTATGCGTTTGCATTAATTTATGAATAATTGTTATTTGTTAATATCTAGATACTAATGTAATGAATCAGGTTTAAGCTTCAACTACGTTTATAAGAATGTATTAACTTAGTAGATATGTGACATTTTACAAGTTTATTTTTTAAACATCCTTTGTTCTTCTTTGTGAATATTGGCCTGTTTCACTGTAATCTGCCTTTCTGCAGTCACCATCTAAAAAAATTTGGTCAAGTTAGCTCCCCGTATGACCCAATGTTAATATCAAGCAAATGATCACTTACCTCTATCTTCCTTTTTATAAAATGATATGCTGCATGCGTATTTTTTACCAAAAGTGACGGAGGAAACATGTCTGAAATTAAATCCTCATCTATTTCATCTGACCAACACCCAATAGTTGCTTCCGTCAAATAAGCTGATAGTGGATGATCTTCACGTATAGATTCTACTGATAATTTACGTTGCGTAAATCGTTTTAATGCTAGCATAAATTCCTCAGCTGGAATAAGATTCGCATTACGTTTAGCGCACTTTTCTTCAAAAGAGCAAGCTGCCAATATCTCATTTTCTATATCTTCTGTAAGTTTGACCTTGTATTTGGTGGCGATGCTTTCTATCACAATATCTGCAACCTTGCTTTCAACAAGTTCATAAAGTGCGATAACATGTTTGAGTTGTAGACCAACGTTCAGCACATGTTCTAATTCTTTATTTTCTGAAAGAACGGAAAGCTTCATCCATTGCGAGATGTATTCTTTGATGGTTATATTGCCATCACTTCCTGCAGTCCTCTTAACGAAACATAAAAGCAATTCTAGGGCGTTTAAAAGTTCTGATTCATTATTAGATAATATTATCTCTGTACTTCTGGTGCCGCTGCTAAATTTGGATGAATAGTTTGAAGAGACTCCGCCGGTGAGTAATGCAAACAAATCTTGCGGTATTGATTCCTGTTTAATCATTTGTTTAATTTCAAAGAATATAGTTGTGGATTCCCGGAATATTTCCATGCAATAGGGGAACGGTTCTAATATGAGTCCGTCTTGCTCAGTATGTTCTAAGTAGGTTTTGTTCAAAATTAAATCCCGCGCAAGTTCTGCTTCGATTTTATGGAGATCATATTCAATTTCTTGTCCTCTACCAATCTCAAGATTGCGTTGGCTGTATTCCAGAATTTTGGGGTTCCATTCATAATCTATGAAATTAACTTGTTGAGCATCTTCAAGTCGTGCAGATTTAATTTGATATGGGCTATTTGCACCTGGCTCAAGTCCTGTTTGCTGTTCGATGAATTTCAATGAATGGCATGTTCCAGGTGGGATATTCATAACATCACGTAGGAATCTATTTTGAAGATCAACTAAATATTCTAATGCTGCGCATAAAAATAGACCTGCATCCTTGCCTTCTACAAGACCAAATACAATCTGGCAATTCAAATTCATCTTAGGTTTTTTGGCAGGTAAATCGTGACATTGATATCTTTCAATAAGTGGCATCACAGCATTCCAAGATTTTGCAAAGTTATCGAATGCTGTTTTAAGAGAATGCTGAAGTTCTTTGTATCCATCTGCTTTGGCATCTTTGTCAATAAACTCTTGGAATGTCATATGTAATGCTTCATCTCGTTTGATGCGATAGCTAAGGCGTGTGGAAAGTATGCGCACAAATTTCACTAGGTGATGTATATGCTTCAGATGTGGAAGAAGTTTCTCATATTTGAAATAGATTGAAATAAATGGGAAATTCTTGCGATAACTTTCATTGTTTATGTAATATGCACGGAAGTCAGCAAGACTTATATCTCCAATACGTCTCCATAATCGAGGTAATCGCCTTGCATTATAAGCATTATCAAAAGTCAAAGTCTCGTTTATCTCTCCTTCAAGTTCGGTGGTTTTTTTCTTTCTATCATCGTTAGCCCTCTGAAGTTGGTTGCGGAAATTCGTTGCAGCATTTCTGGCTCGATTAGTAGCATGACGCGTGGTGAATTGGCGTTCCCAATTTGTTCGTGCTTCTGATGTTTTTAATTCAGGATTATGTGTCGGTCCATCTTGGGCGATCGAATGAAGTATGCTATGGAATATTAAAGCTAAATTTTCATCGTCACAATTTAAGAGAGTTTTTAATACTTCCCAATCTTTTGTGATGTGATCCAGGCAATGCCCAATAGGATTAGTAATATTATTAAAGAATATTTGCGAATGTGAAGAAGCAGCAATGAGAACGTGAACAAAAAGATGTAAGATACGATATGAAGATGCAGTCATTTCGCGAACTTTTTTGCCTTGTTCTAATGTTCCAGCCTCCATTATATAACCAGTCTTTTCTCTGTTAGCGATGATATTTTGAACTTGGGCACCATTCAATCTTGTTTGACCTTCTGCCGATCTGTGGTCTTGTCCACCAATCGTCCTACGGCATCTTCCTGGGCATGGTCGAGCCTCCATAGTACCACCACATTCACCTACGACATATTTATAACCACAATTACACTGGTACCTATATAATAACCGGGAAGAAGATTTTACAGACATCAATAAAGGATATCAATACGGTAAGTTAAGGATATTGCAATAGCTTACCACGTGAATCCAGTAAGAGCGTTCATTAATATTGCATCTTCATCAGATGGGCAGGTTAATATATATGCGTGCTGCATTTCTTGCAGTTTGTGAAGGTATAATGTCAATGGTGAATGATTGGCCGGAAGTGACGCATGAACTGCAATTATGTGAACAATGACCAAGCGAATTATCAAATTTGTATTATCTATTCTCTGATTAATCTGAAGTAAAGGATAGTTATTTGCTAAAAGTCCTTCCACAAATCGTTTATAAACTGGTGATATATTGATATTATCCAAATAAACTCGCAAATGAGTTGTCATTTTATTTTCCTTTTCATTCAAATTTCGTGTTGCCTGAATTGCATATAGGCTGGCTACAATAACCCCAACGAAAGCAATGCGCAAGTTGCTCTGGCTACTCAACGAAAGTTTATTTAAAAAGTCATCGAACCGAGCTCCGCTCATGGCATTTTCTGCTTCTTCATATTCCTTGAGCAAATAGTAGGGATTGAAGGGTAAGCGAGAGTCAATGTCTATATTCCATGGTAAATCAGAAAGCCATGGCAAAGTCTTTTGTTGAATAATGTAGAATTGCTTAAGGTCATTCATTGAGAGACCACGTGCTCGCAAGTTCTTGAGAAAATAGAATTTGAACGATTGGATCTGTGGGTGCTCTGATTGCATCAAATTGTTTAGGCCGACCATGAATCTTTCTGAGTTAGAGAAATTAAATTTAATCGGCACATTCAAAGCCCTGTTTAGGGTGGAGGAGGACCACAAGTCTTGAACAAACTGTTTTAATAGAGCTATAGCACAAACTAGCTGTAAAGGTTTAACGTTATTAGCACACAAAACTTGGATAGCATCTTGAAATAATTCTATAAGTTTATATAATCCCATTTTGGCGTAGAATTCCCCTTGGATAACATCACAGCACAATGCTGCTAGACCCGAGTCATGCTGATTCATTCCTAACTGTTTGTTTATTCTATTGAGCCTTGGTGAGAAAAACAATATGTTATCCACATTTCTGATTATATCTGTGAACATATCTCTTTCTTCTGAACGGAAGATACAAAGTATTATAAAAGCTGTGAAAGGCGGTGGCTGAGCTTGTGCAAACAACTTTTCGTAGAGGTGTAGACGAGCAGGGGATTCAATTGGAATAATATCCAAGATTTGTAAGACGAAGGCTTGTTTTGCAGCGATATTCTTGTTTCCATCTTTTTTGTCCAAAATTTTAAAGATATAATCCGTAAAGTTTCTGTTTGAAATGTCATAATTACGTCCAAGATCGATGATAGTTGAAAGGCTGTTATGAGGAATTACTTGTTTCGAGACAAGATTATTACATATATTGAGAAGTTGAATGGAAGAATCTGGGAGACCTGTCGAGAGTTCGTAACAAAGAGATAGTACTTGGGATACTTCTAGCTGCCATTTTTGTAATTGTTTTTTGCCATCCAACACCCGAATAAGATCCAGTGTTAAATTGGCGGCGATACTCGGGAGATCCTTTTTAAAATTCTCAAAATTGTCACCTACGTCTTCAGCTATTTCATGTTTAATTGAAGGGCAAAATTTAGATAACTGCAATTCAGCGATTACAATGTCTGATTTTGCCCACCAATATGTGTGAAGTCTAATAGGATTCAGTATCATCTTTTCACCCAAACGCCGATGCAGTAGGAGACTTAGAAGGTCAAAGTTCTCAATACCTCCAAGACCGGAAGAGATGACGGTAAGAAAATCTTTAAGGTACAAATTAGCTGCTTTTTGAAGAGGCGCATTAACAAGAGCAGGCGTTTTTGATATAATGTTCTGGAACCTTTCAAAGCAGTTAGCAAGTATATTGCTCAATAGCTTTCCCGTGACCTTATCAATATTGTTTTCATCATCTTCAAGTATTTTAATGTCCTCCAAACAGAGCTTCTCGTAATGATTAATCTGCTTGATAAGATAATGGGAGAAGGGAAATTCCAAGGTGTATGGACCGCTTTCCATGCGATAATTATCAGGTTTCGGGTCCATCAAGATTTCAGTATTGATGATGTTGTTATCTGCGAACATTTGATACCAAAATTCAATAAGGTAGTTATAACGATCATCATTTTTGCATTCGAGAACTAGTAAAGTTTTGAGAGCTGATAAACGTTCGAGCATGCACAATAGCTTAGCAATATGCTTCCTCACCAGAATTCGGATATATGTTCGAAGAGCTGCGGAGAATGATGAATGTAGATAAAGTACTCTTTTGTCAGAGGCAACCCGTAGTTGCCAATTTGCTGAAGTATTCTCGTCCAACCATTTCAATGTTTTTTGTTTCAAAGTTTTTATAAACCGTGAATGTTGTGGAATTTCAGTGACAAGATATCTGAAAAAAATTTTTGGTTAAATATAGGTGCGGAATTTAATAGAGAACAGAAATATTTACTTGATATGATCTACGGATTCCACTGATGATGGATACTTGATACAGAGAAGACACCACAGCAATTCTTGCCGAAGGATCTCTTCGAATGGTAAAGCCGAATCCATGATATCTCTGATGGTTCCTCCCAGAAGGACTGGCAGGTCCTTTTCTTGTGAGGTCAGTGTACCAACAGTAATTTGATTCCATCCACACATGAAATCAAACATAGCAGAAGCTACACTTTGTTCGCGATGAATATGAAGAATGATGCAAGCGTGTTTGGTTGGTATGTTAATGTTCATCTTTCGTTTTTTTTCCAAGTATTTTGTTCGGATTTGTTCAATAATAAATTTTGAAAGTTTGATGCAACCAGAATTTACTGTTGATAGATCACATTGTATAACCAGAAGTTCATCATCGCTGTCCAACCAAAAATGTTTTATCCGATCCTGGAGCTGAGACTCTGTTTTGAATGTTGAAAGCTTATCCACTTGGCAAGTCACCAATGTGTTTAAGCAAGCCTTAATATCAGTGTTAATATTTGAAAATGTATTGATAATGACTAATTGCCCCTCTCTACTCGCTCGATCATTTTTATCACCAAGCAATAATCTTAAACATGACTCGATATCATCATGTAACCCATTATTAAAGTAGGAATTACTCAACTCGGTGACTTCTTTGGGTTTTTGCATGGATAAAATAGATTGCCTTGCACGCACAATACCATCTGATGATGCAATGGCTATCAGCCTTTCCTTGCATCTCTTCAAAATCAAATCATCATCACCATCTTTTTCCTCCTTCTTGCACTGATCGAACACAAGACTCTGAATAGTTTCTTCCTTATCGAATCCTATAAAAATGTCTTTTTCGGTAAATTCCTTTGATGCTCTTTGGACTGTAGCCCCTTGCAGTGTTGATATTCGACGAACCCATTCATCCAAGATCTCACAGAGTTCCTTATGATGTTCTGAGAGTATATCGTTTATTGTCAATCGTTGTTTCTCAAATCTATTGAGCAAAGGTGGATCTATATGTTCGAGTTTGTTTTCATCCATCGCTAGAATACATTTGAAGTCTGGATGCACATATAACATTGGGTTTGAATATGCGCCGAGTGCAACGCGTGCGAAATATTTAGTGTCCCCACGACTGCCAAGGGTAATGTAATTCTGATTCCACAAATCATAGAGACTCCCTGCACAGCGAAATTTAGGATACGATAATTAGATTGAGATTTTTAAAAAGAATAAAAGAGAGCCTTACCGTAAATAATGTCCAAATTTGTGAGAATTAACGGTCTTCCTGCTTCTACACACATCTAAGAAAAATGAAAATTAATGTTATTACCTTCAATTATCTGAAATAATACAAGGAAACTTAATTATATACTTACCATGATTTTACTCAAAACGGCATACAAATAATCACCATCACCATCATTAGGAAATTGTGATCCACACAGTATGACAGGGTCCATGTGCTGAGCTCGCATGTGATATGTTAGGATGTTGACCAGCGAATCACTTTTCCCAATAACCATTAAATGACGCGTATCTTTCCGATTCAGGTTCTCGTTTATGAGTCGTTCGACGGGAATTAGTGTATATGTGTAACTATTCTTGTTGCCAAAACTTTTCAAAACTTTACTAAAATAGTTCTCGCATATTAATTTAGTCTGATCGGTTCCTCCAAAGTTCCTTATCAGTCCCAGTTCCAATGATCTCGCTAATTTACAAAATTCAATGTATGTCAGCATTGTAAATGAGTAACGAAATAATTCGAATAGAAAGTCTCACTTGTCAATTCCGTGCCACTCAGGCTTTTCACCAACGCATAGTAATCACGGAGTCCTAGTTAATTATAAAATAAAAGTTATTTTTATATTTCTGACAACGATGTCAAAGATAAAAAGTTACCATGAAAGTTTTTAAACTTTTGATTTTTCTCATAATCGAGGTAAGCTTCAGCAAGTTGTCTAAGTTTGGAATCGGTGATTCCATTAGTTTTGTCATCTAAAAGCATGGAAGCTGTTAATGTAAGGTCGTTAATGCCAAATTTTGGTCTTTGTACAAGCAAAGCTCTGCTTGATTTGCTGTTGTCCAGACGCCAATTGCTAATACCAACAACTGACACGGTTGGTCCATCTTCGGGATCTCTTTTGTTAGCAATCGACGCTGAAGGATCTTCACCAGAGTAACCTGGTTCTAAAAGAGCATGGAGAACTTTCAATGGGTTGAATCGACTAGTTTCCGCTAGACCAACCTCGTCAAGAAGGACAACAGCTTGTACAGGGAACGACTCTGAACTTGTTTTTTGATAACCTTCTGCTTTATCGAAAACCTTTAGGATACCGTCCGAAGTCGATGATGCGGAACCTTGATGTGATATAAAATAAACCTTACACAAAGCCATAACGTTTCAATTGTTAGAACAGTAACTCAAAATATCCTAAAACAATACATGGCTTACCTGTGGTAGTGTCTTAAAATATTCATCTTCCGACTCTGCCCCTCGAAGATTTGAACTTATAAGTCGTACTGCTAGAGACTTAGAGCTGTCAAAAATAACATTGTCAATAGATGAACTACATATAAAATAAAAAAAGCACGCAATCTTCCGATCAAATTTGCTTTAAATTTAGATAAGATTAACTTTTTGTAATTTCTTAAGTTAATCTGAGCTTAATTTGATTAAATATATGATTGGGCCGCAAAATACAATAATACTACTAAATATTTCTAACCTTCCAGGAGCTCCGATGATAAAAACAGGAATCCGATTCAATATACAAACAATCATCACAAAAACATTCTCCAAAAGTGCATCATTATCCGCTGTCGATGGAGGACACACCATTCTCTGCTTGAAATCCTCTTGTTCCTTGCGAATTATCGTTTGAAATGTTGAGGCAGAAATATCCTCTTTGTGAACCTTGAAAACCCGAGCCATACATTCTCGATATCTTTTTCGTAAATCTTGATCATATAAACGGGATTGATAGCAAAGTCCGAGTGACAGAACAAAACTATAAAGTTTCAATTTTTTTCCATCTTTCGGTGGATAATTCCAATATTTCATGATAAAGATACCACTAGCTCGTGTAGCTGGTGGTCGTTCTTTCAGGCTTTTTTGAAACCATTCAACTAACTTGATCGCTCGTTTTACATCGCGCAAGCTAACAGTGTATGGTTCTTCAACCATGCGAATAAATTTCTGTGATTCACAAAGAAGATCCACAAATACTGGATACATTCCTAACCGACTTTCCACCATAATTTTAATGTATGCCTGATGGAAAAGAAGAATTGAAGTCGAATCAAAGCGTTGAATTTGTACTAATCAGACAGACACACATACCTTCTCTTCTTCGGGCTTAAGAACGCCATAATCCCAAACATAATCCAAAATTTGGTCAGGTAACGGATGTACTTGATAGACCAACTTGCTCTGTTCTTGGTAATTTTTTTCCAAACCCACATTAGTTACACTTTTCTTACGGAATCGATAAGGATTGCATGCAGCAAAAAGGCGAATGTTATGATGTATCGGCCTGCCCGATAGTGTTCTGTGAGCTATGAGGTCAGCAAGAAGCCCGATATGATTGCAAGTATTAATCTCATCAAAGAATAGCCATGTTTGACCATTCATGGCAAGTTGAGTACTTGTTTTCATGAACTCATGAATCTGGTCTTCGGTTATACCAGCATGAAGTGAAAGTATCTTAACTTTGACTTCTACAACTGCCGCTAGAAAACCAATCAAACTCGTCTTTTCGGAAAAGCATTAGAAAATTTAGATTTTCTCTTTACATCCTTAATATGAAGTTCAATAATCTTTTACGTACCTTGCCACAACCTGCCTCTCCACATATGACTACTGGAATATTCGCTCGAGATCTCAATAGAATCAAGGCCATCTTAAGGAGATTATCTGCCGATAACGCGTAATTTGGTAATTTTAACTCTCCCATCGACTTTCTCGCTATACGCTCTAATTTCTCCAGTAATGCATTTGCTGACATGGTATGATAGTCGTCTAATTCCCATACTCTCTGTACCTCTTGTTGAAAAGGAACAACCTGATAATTATTAACTTCTTGACTCAATAACAGGCGTTTCACATCAGGAGGGACTCTATCTCGGTCACGATAAAGAGCGCAAATAGAATTCGGTGTTTGAGACAGAAAGAACACCAAGAGATGATTTGAAGCATCCCACTGTACGATAGTTTCCAGTTGATCATTATCAACATTCTGCGTTGATTCTAGTTGTGCTGCCTTTGTTGCGACTGAACGTGTCGCGAAATATTTGGAGACTTCGAGCAGGGTCGTCATTAATGTTGAACGAACGTCCAAATCTTTCACCATAAGTCTAAGATTATCTACGTTGAAAAATGAACTTGATGACAGACGAACCAATTGATCTGCAAATACGTTCAAAAATATTTCTAAAAATCGATACGATGTGATATTTTCATTGTTGCCATCTAGAAAATATTTTTGCACTAACTCGTGACACCGTTTTGTACTTATATATTTTATTATAGCTTTCTGTCCTGTGAACAAAATATCCTTTTCGTTAAGCAAGTTGCGATCGTGCGCGTCCAAATAATTAGACACTATTTGTATCGGGCTCATTATTTCGCGAGAGACAATAAAATTGTTGATGTTCCAGTTCAGGTGCACTCTTTTAAGGTATTGCGCGATCGGAATCGAATTTAATAGACGTTCATTCTCTGTCGATGCAATCTCAATGAACACATGCTTTGGGAGGCAAACAATATCTGCTTTGTTTGAGACAATTCCGAGTGTCAAAAGCTCGAAAAGAAAAACATTACAATCATTAGGATTATCAATAGATATAATGTTCAAGTGCATACTCTCTATAGATTCGAGCTTGCACTCTTTCAGCTTTTGAACTAGCTTATCAAAATGTATATTGTCACTTATCAATAAACTTCGTGAAATCAAACCAGCATTCATACTGGCATTCTTTATATATTCCGTCTTTCCTTGGCCGGATAGCTCAGAGGTGACACAAAACACGTTGGAACAGAGTTCTATATACATATTTTTCATGGTATTTTCTCCAAGACCGTTCGTGATGCACACGCTTTCAGAAAATCGATCAAGAATGTGGTGATGAATTCCATTTTCTTGGCAACAAATCAAAGCCAAGTGATAATCTGTTTCGGTTTCCTGAAAATTACGTATGTCATTGACTAATTTATACTGTAATTCGAATTCAAGGAACTCTAAACCTGCGATGCAACATAGGCGTTTCTCGTATCCATTTGTCGCGGCAAGAAAACATCTTTTGATGAAAAGTGTAAGTTCCTCAGCAGTTGTAGTAGTTCTGCACATTAACAATTGCCATGGTTCAGGATATGAGCCGTGATTCGCATATAGAGATAGAATAATGTTCGGTACGCGATAACTATCAGCGCACGCAGCGACAAACAATTTACCCGGGTAAACTACATCAGAGACAATCGGTTCTAGTTTTGCTTTGATTTGCCGAGGATACTTGGATATTTGCATAAAGATGTCGTGTAATTTTTTTCCTATTTCGCAGAGTACCCAATAAAAATTTATTTCATCTGTATCAATACATATATCACCCTTGTTTGGTGGTAATTTTGCCCCCTTGCATACAAATTGAAGCAATATTTCACATGTTTCGCGGATTTTGGAGTCAGCTTCGCCCATACAACTAAAATAATCGTAAAACGTTTGAATATGTCTTGCGGTGTAGAATGTTAAATAATAATGTTTTTCCTGTGCTTGTTTCATGGTTTTCTCCCTATATGATTTAAAAATAATAATCAATAGCCATAAATAAAAATGTTAAGTAGCTAACATTAAGGTTTCACCTACCAATCATGAAGATCTTGTTTAAGCTTTTCAAGCTTCGACATCATATTTCCTGTGGAGCTCGCAGACATACTCCATTCTCTATACATAAAATGACCCAATTCCATTAATTGAGAAGCGTATTTTAGAATCTGGTGTACCGCGTCCACTTGCTGTACGAATTCCATCAGTTCGTCGGCCCCTTGTTCTAGACTATTGCCATTCTCAACAGGTAGGCGTAAAACAAAAGCCGATGCCGCTTGCTTTGCGATCAGGAGAGCCTGACCTTGCAAATCTTGTATGCCTGAAAGATCATAGGAAATTATTTTTCCGGATTTGTTTTTATAAAATAGATTTACCGCGCATTTATCATGTTCATCGTCACGGTAGAATTTGTATGAACCTTTAGTCACAGCATCTCTGATGCATTCTTTAATTGCTTCCCCCCTATTCAGTATGCTAGAATATATATTCTGGAGTGCGAGACTACTTGAACAACAATGAGCAACTTTCTCAGGCAAAGAATTATTCTTCGAAATTATGTCACGTACATGTTTCATAAACTTGGTGATTATCGTGGGCGTCGCCTTTCCTTCCTTAGAAAATTTTATCATGTCATTCATAAAAGGATCTAAAAATTGCTTAACTTCAAGTAATGTGGCGACAGTTTCTTCTTGAACATCACGTTTCTCGTCTACTCCATTGATTAAATTTCTTAGGTCGTTCTTAACTATTGTCTGAAGCCAAGAAATTAAATCCCCAGCGTAAGACAACGCTTCTATCATCTCCCAGCAGTTGTCATCAAAATCATGAATATATTTGTCTATGTCATTGAATGCTTTAAATAATTCCAAAAGTGTTAAAGATTCTTTAAGTAACCTGTTGCGCACGTTGGCCACCCAACTTTCTGACACATCCCGCACTCTAAAAACTCTCAAAGCTTTTTCCAAATACTCAAGTCGTTCTCCCCAAGATTTAATATGAGCGAGATAGCCCACCGCTTTTCTCAAGTTATCTTTCGGGCGCCAATTCGTATCCCGTGACATCAATTCAAGTTCATTATTGATATTTTTAAGTTCGACATCCTTCCAAAATGAACTGATCTTAAAACATTCGAGCGTTGCCCAGTCTTTATACTTGGCTCGCAAATTATCATACTCTGAAAAGGTCGCACGCATATACTTTATGGCAACCAACTCGACCGTCAAAGTCACTTCATTTTCCTCTAAACATTTTTCAAAAACATTTCCGAATGTCTGAGATTTGGCGTATATATATGCATGTTGCGCTATCTTGATAATCGGTTGATGAAATTTCCAGAAAGTTTCTTGGAATGTGTTTCCAATAGTAACCCTCTCCCGCATATTTTGTTTTATTGTTAGATCAGATAGGTATTCCTTTACATCGGTGGCTTTGGTACAAAATCGCTTGTAGAAAACGTCGAGTTGATTTAACTTGTTCATATACGTTGCATAACTATCTCGAAGATACTTAAGAAACATCTTGTTAATGCTGAGGTTTGATGATTCGTCAATCGTCGCGAAGTAGGCTAATAATACATTGTCATTATAATCAAAGATGTCTTTTAACATATTTATTTCTATGGATTTGTCAAGCAGTTTTTTGGCTAACTGAATTATAGCTTGACGAACTAGTATCACGTGCGTGTGCCGACTATGAAGTTCTTCAACAAAACCGGTAGCCTTTAAGATGCAAACCCAAAAATTCGATGAGGCAAGCAATGACTTATGAAAATTATCGTCGATAACATCCATTTCTACATTCAATGAATTTTCTTGTAACCTTGTTAATATATAGAAGACAGTATCTTCACAGAGTCTGTTCAAAAAGTCACGAGTTAATGTTGTCAATGATAAGGGTAAAATGGATAGAGGAAACTTTTAACTTACTTGTTCGGAATATGCAATTGCTGTCCACTAGAGTTGCATATTTTCATTATTTTACCTAGTAGTTGGTTATCGCTGTTCTTGACATCAGAACCGAATCTTCTTTTTAATACACGACCAAAGATCTCGATAAGTTCTACTTGTTCGAAATTCCCAATATTGATAGTGGCATCAAAAATTACATCATCAGAAAGAACCTTGAGAGCTTTCTCAGCAATTTTAAAGAGCTCGTCGTATGTAATATTGTATTTGGCCATAATAGAATATATTATCGAAAGATAATGGAAAGTTGTGCATGCAAAGTTTTCCTCAATACGCTTAGATGCATGTTGCGCCTCCATTTTGTAAGCTAATATCCTCTCAAACCATTGAATGCAAATTTTGCCGAACTTCTTATCATCAGAACCGACATCCATGTATTCCTCTTTGAGAAAATTTACCAGTTGAACTGGGAAAACTCGTAACAGTTCCAGATATTTTGAAATGGAAATATTATTGAGAACTTGCAAAGCAGAATCTTTTTGCCAATTTAATCTAGCGTTATTGAGTAATCTGAGCATTGAATCGACGTTATCTTTACCCCAAGTAACTCCAGAGGTACCCAATAAAGTAAAAATTCTATCTCTAAATCTCGGGACAAAATCGATGCCAAAATCAACAGGTATCTCGTTAAGATGCTTTTCTAACTCTTTCGCATTATCATTTATTATAAATTGACTTAGGCAATCAAGCGAATATTGATGAAGCTCTTCATCTGTATTCGTGTCAGGACGAAAAATGGTTTGCCACATAAATATAAACGCATTGAGATCTCGGCAGAAGGTGATAAGATGCTGGTTTAAGATTGTGTTGAAATATAAATCGTGATTGGTTATTAAGATACTGTACATAAGCTATGAAATAAAAGCGGGATCTGATAAACTTACCTTACAAACTTTTATGTAATTATTATTGTACATAATGTTATCTATACATGGCTTGACAAATTTCTTGAGGGAATCCAGAAAATTTGACGCATTTTCCTTTGTATACGCAGGAACTTTAACATGCTTGAGGAAAGTATACTTTGGATCGACAAAAGGTGCGATTTCAAAGGTCCTCATCCATTCGAATTTTGTAGAATAGGTTGAGATATGCAGTACTAACGCGCAGATAGCAGGTGACAGAATTTCAATGACTTCCCGAGACAAATCATCCTTATCAACATCTTTAAAAGCATGTAACACTTCAAGAGAAGGAAACTTTTCCGGAAGAAGTGGCATATGAATTCTCTCATCTATCGCGTGACTCAATAGTACGCATAAAAAAATTTTTTGCTCAACGGTGTTTGGGACATCAAAACATCTGAAGATAAACCGTTCTATCATTTCATGATCCAATACATCCGAATGACTTTTGCTAAAATTTCGATATTCTATGATCTTTTCTTTTAGATTTTTTTTCGATACCGATTGATAGATAAGAGAGAAATAGGGATAGTTTTCCCGCAAATCTTTCAAATTTCTAGGATACTTTTCAGTAGGGTTCCATATGTCGTATTGGTTTTCCTTGAGGATTAATTCACGATCAATGCCGTCGGGATGCCAGTCGCCTACATTGAGTTCAGGAACCACATTTTCAGACGGTTCTTTGCTAGTTAATTGTCTAAAGAATTTTGCGAAATCATTCTCGCTCTTCTTATAAATATAATACCCATAGAGGACCGATTCATTTTGTAAAATCGAAATTGGCATACTGATGGGATCAGAATACCAATGCATTGGATTTTTATTGTGTCGTTTAAGCTGTACGATGCCGTATTTTCCTGACCCCAGAAACTGAACATTACCGATGACAAACACAGATTTTTTATGCAAACCTTTCGGCATCATTACGTGAAAGCAGGTGGTCACCATATTTTCGGGTGTGACTGCCTCGATGTCTAACGTCTGGTCTGTTTGCTCGGCAATCATTACGTCATTACCGGTATCAATCTGAGAATTATTATAGATCATTTTCTTCTTGCCTTTGGATTTATCTGATATTTTGCTATTTTCATCGTCTGCCTTTTCCTGAATGTTTTTATCTTCTTCGTTTGTTGTAAAATCATTCGATTGGTCATTATTCTCATTAACGTTTTCCTTTCCAGATTTTTTTCGCAGGCTAAACGCACGTTTAACGCTTGTCCACCTTCGTATGGTGGCCTTTGAACTAAGACTATTCTCTCGTTTCTTGATTTTTACCTGTTTTGATTGATTGTCAACACTTGCGATGTTGGACGAAGAAATTGTGTTGTTTATATCTATGCTTTGTGCTTTTATGTTAGTTTCATCAAGCTCCGCCGCTGATGTAACTTTTGATGTTGTCTCTGGTTGTGCGGCTATATCTTCGTTATTCAAGCCAGTCGTTTTTACGTCATTTGTTGAAGTTGAGGAGGGAACGGCTTCATTAAGTGAAATCGAATTGAACAAATCATTTAGGGAACTTTCTGTAACCCCTATATTATTCGAATCTAAATTTTCTCCCATGATTTAAATCTCCTATGGGTGAAAAGTAGATATTGTGAATAATCAGATGGACATGTATTATTTATAATTATATTGATATTGTATAAAAAGAAATCGGATTGGGTATGTATTATATATAATTATATTGATATTGAATAAAAAGAATTCGGATTGGGTAAATTTTCCTTTATTCATGTAACTTGATTTTTAATTTTTTCTTTATATTCACGAATAATAAATCGATCTAATGTTTGAATACGTATGCACGTAAATAACATGTAATTGGTTTCTTGTCCAAGACTATGAGAGTACAAAATTTCTTCCTTAGATATATCTTTTAGAATTTCACAATAAGTCCTTAAGCATAATTTGCGATTTATATAAGACAAAGATAACGTAAATCTTATTTTTACATCCTATCTACATGTATAAAGCGTTCTCTTACTGATGGACGTCGCGCGAGACCACCCTATACTTGATAGTAATCATTAATAACGGATCATTTGCACGATAAGTATATTATCGGTTCTTCATAATTTTTGTCCGACAATCATATGCTCATTTCCGTTTGTGGTTGTTTAATAAAGGCAATTTTTTGGACATAAGAATACAAAGAGCGTAAAAATACACTTGTGCATGTGTAAAATGCGTTTTTTATGTGTAAAAATGCACTTTGTGTATGTGTAAAAATAACAAAGAAACCTTTTACGTTTAGTGCATGTTTCGTTTTTCGCTATCGCTATAAAATAAAAGATCAACAGAATTCTAGTTCAGTAGCGGCAAAGTATATTAAATCACATGACATTTTACCAATTTTATAGCGAGTTCAGGTGGAAGACAGCTCCACTCTTTTACCGTTCCCCCTTTAAACTTTTTAAATGCCCAAAATTTTTTATGTTTATCTATATTAATCGCTGCACGTTTCTATAGAATTTAATCCGGTGGTTCTCTGTAAATAAAGGTTTGAATTTCCACGAAGACGCCGCTTAATAGTCTTTGCGCTGATGTCAACGCCCCTTTTTTATATTTGGGTGGGTTTTCTTAACTCTACTTTCTTCGATTCTTGTTTGTGGAAGAGAAGCGACATTTTTTGGACGTAAAAGTTCATTGATCATCTAACGTTAACTTGTGTTTTATTGTCGTTCAATACCTAATTTACATGTACCTGTATACAGTAAGTGCCACCAAAAACTCCGAAAGTCAAAATTCTGATACTCAAAATCCCGAATATCATAAGCCCCTACTCTCCATCATCCCGACATTCCCAAATTTCCGACATATACGACACCCGACATTCCTAAAAAATAAATAGAAGTGTAAAGATATGATAGCGGTAATCATTATTTATTACACGCGCCTATTTACATTTCGCATCAATGTTATATTACATAATTTTGAGTGTATTGTCGGGATTTTAGTATGTCGTTATTTTGAGAATGTCAGGATTTTGGACATCGAAATGTTGAGAAGTCGGGATTTTGGGAATCTCGAGGATGTTGGTCTTTCGCGCTTGACCTTTCGGGATTTTGACATTCGAGATTTTGAGAATTCGGAATTTTGGACGTTTGGGATTTGGGGTATGATACTTCACAGTCGTCAAAAAAGTAACGCCCAATTTTTTCATCACTAATCCATCATTAACTCTGCATATGGCTTAAATTTTATTATATAATCGTACACGAAAAGATTCTTGACAAAGATTTTGACCTATCATCAACCAAAATTTTGTTATTAACACTAAAACTACGTTCTACACTACATGACGAAATTGATAAATATTGCTTTGAATTCTCAAGGCAATAAGCCCACAACCTCCTCAAAAATCAACAAATCATGTTTCCTTTAGAGTATTCCTTGGCTTTTTTTTATCATTGGGAAACCTTTACATTTTTGATCTACAATAGATTCCTACGAAGTTAGATTTGGTGAACACGCTAATCAGTCCATAACGATAATTGTCGATTTTGAAATATCATGCTTTCAAGGAACAGCTTCAGGCCGTGAGATGACTCAGGTTGACTTTTTGTAGATGTTCATTTTTTTTCTTGATAGATAAGAACTTATGGTCTTACAGGCCGTAGTAAATTTTGTCTTTCCTGTTTCTTTGCACTTCGCAATCGATAGCGCCTTAAATCCCGAAGAACACAATCCGGAAGTTCATAAGCCCGAAAAACGAAATCCCGAATAATCGAAATCCAGAATGAACGACATCCCGAAAGATCGAAACCACGAAATCCCGAAAGTATAGCATCCCAATGCATGGAATACCAAAATTATCACGATTTTGGGATATCGTGCATTCATTTATTTCGATTGTCGGATTTCTATCATTCGGGATGCTATTTATTCGGAATTTCGATCTTACGGAATGCCGTGCTTTCGGGACTTTGTTTGTCGAGCTCATGAACGTTCGGATTGTGTTCTTCGTAATTTCGTACATTATGTGTATATATTGAAGGAGTTTAAAGTCAAAGTTTATATGCGTAAATGAAACATTTTACATGTACATGTACAGTATGTAAAACTCAAAATGCATAAATATGTGGTTCTCAAAATCCAGTTCTAATAGAAGGCTGTACATATATATAGAGTGTTCTTATAAAGAGTTGCGACTGTATTTATTTTTAATAAAGATTGCAAATTAGAAATCTGTATTCTTACACAATAAAGATAAAAAGATATATTTTATAAAATTGATAATAAATATAAAGAAAGCTTCATTCAATAATTTAAGAAGAAAACAAGTAATAAACTATTCAGAATCTCAATAATAAAGTAGATTGTTTCCAAAGAAAAATTATAAAATTATTATGAGAAATATTATTTTTTATTCGATTGATAATAATATCTTCATTGTCCTGATTTAAATAAAAATTACTATATCAAAAAGTACTATTAAATAATAACTAATAATACATGAAAAATTTTTAAAAACTTATAAAGATAGTAAGTATCAAATTCATCTTTAAAAAATTTGAAAATATACACTCAACAAAAGAAATTCAGCGGACATTTTACTGATTTAGCAATTACTATATGCGATAGCCAATATTTGATATCTTGTTAACCCACACTAATTTTTAATATATGTCTAAATGTGTATGTTCTTATAAATATCCTTAAATATTGCTCAATTCTGCGAAAAATTTAGAAAATACAGACAGTTACACACTTCTAAATACATATACTTGGAACCAGCCTGATTGTGTGCACTTAGATTTAGAAAGTTAATATATATATATATATGTAATAAATTATATAAAAATGATCAAGCTCATATAAATTACATGTAATTCAATTATAAAAGAGAAATATTTATATATAAATAGATTTTGTCTGTAACTAAAGTTTAAGAGAATAATTAAACTGATTAAAATATTTATTGTTAAAAATATATTTTATTGATTCTTAATATTGTAATAAGAAAAATTGAATATGCGAATTTTTGAAGAGTAATAATTGATAATTTTGTTCAAAATTTTTATAATTCTGGTTAATATTATTATAATTATGTAATTTTATACACTTAGAGATTTAGTAAAATTATAATATATTTGTGTATTGATATTTAAAAAGTATGTAATATATCAATAAGTTCTATCATAAAACTAGTTCAATAATATATACTTAGAGAAAATATATTTAGAGAAATATAATTATATTTATTATATTCAAATAAGTTTTTTAATAAAATATTCTAATATATTTCATAAATATTCAATTAAATTATAATTTATTAATAATAAGAATAAATTTGATATTCTTTCTAAAAGATCTTGATTTTTATATAAATCTTAAATTTAAATATTAATAAAATTATCATTAGATTTTAAAGTTATTAATAATTAAATTTTAATATTTTTATTATATTATCAATTATTTAATAATTTTTAATTAATTAATAATTATTAATAAAATTAATGAAAATTAATTATAATTTGAAATTAATATTATAAATTATATGAAAATTATAATTATTCTTAACTTTAATTAGAATCTTTATATAATATTTTATACTTCTTACTAAATTATTTTTAGATAAATAATTAAAAAGATAATTTTATATTATTTATATAAAAAAAGATATTTTTTATTAAAAATTAATATATAAGTAGTATAAGTATTTCTATTATTAAATCTATTTAGAAAAGATTAGTATGATCTGCATATATGATATATTATATCTGTATAAACTTTTATACTTCTATATATATTCTTTTAAAAATTATAAATATAAAAAAATTTTTATTAGAAATTATAATTTATCAATTTAAAATAAATCAAATATAAATTAAATTATATACAGTCCCCAGCAAAAGTAGTGACATGTAACATTTTCATCTATATTTTAATAATGAAGTATCCAAAACTCACAAAAGTTTGTAAATATATTCTTTAGGATATTATGAACAAGATTCTCTAATAGCGCAAGGCATGTTAGCTTAATAAAATTTTGCGAAATTTTGCGTCAAATATGTTGGATTAGGTATCTACACAAAATAACTTTGAAAAAAAATTATTTAAAAATATTTTTAATAAGTAATT